TTGTTAACGTTCTCAGAGTGGAGCTCAAACTGATGTAACCAAGTTTATTTTCATGTGGTTCAGCCCCACCAAGCTTCCTGAAGGTATATTCCTTTTCAAAATTATCTACCTCTAGAACGATCCATCATAGGGGAGTTGGGTCTAAGTTACACGAACAAGCTTACATTATTTCTACATGCAGATTGAATTGCTGCAAAGGCCGAACAAATATGTGGTTTTATATCATATGATTTAGCGGATTCGAAGTTTCCTCTTTAACCGCTCTCAAACTGTCCATGTCTGCGACCAAAAGTCTGCGGAGGTTGCGATTGGGGGCGGTGCTCCCCAATGCTCCGTTCTTGGCCCTACATTGGTTCATTATGTACCTCAATCACGTCTATGAACTGGATTGTGATGTCGCTGCTTGCCGATTATATTAAGCTTTGGAGCGTCATCAGAACTGCAGCTGACGAAAACTATGAGCAGGCAAACCTAACAAGAAAGGGCAAAGAGCTACTACAGTGCCCTTCGCCTAGACGAAAGACTTTCGTATGGCGATACCGAAGGTAAGTGTAGTGTTAGAAAGCTTGAGTGATAAGCGGTTGGGGAAGTGAAACCGACGACCTCTAAGCAACGTGCGAATTTCAGTGACAACATAAGAGTCAGTATCGGGGGAGGTGGCGGTAGGTACGAATATGGAAAGTGGAGCAGGGACTAGCGGAGGTGGGGGGTCAGCACTATTTCGTCTATGAGGTAAGTCTGGCAATATCGTCCGTGAATTGAGTCTCGCTGATCAAAGGGGATCCGCAGGACGACTGGAGATCGCTCAAGACGATTGCATTAGATCTGATTAAGCGCTGTTATCCGGTGAAGTTACAGAAGACGACTAGTCGCCCTGCCTGGTTGACAAAAGATCCTAGCCGGCAATTAAAGAAGAAAATAAGAAATGGAAGTTATTCGGGGAAACTGGGTCACCAGTACACCTCGGCGAATTCTGTCGCCAATAATATGCGGTAGAACATAAATTCGTCAGGCAAGGAAAAACTATGACTCAAGAATCCTCCAACAGGCTGAAGACGAGCGAAAAAGTTAACTCCACTTTATAAATATTATATTGAAAAACAAGGACCCAGTCGCCGTACTCAAGGATGATAATCGTGTGGAAGTCGCTGAGAATGGCGAGAAAGCCGACTACTGTAGCCGGTTTTATGCCTCCGTATTCACTAGAGAAACCAAGCTTCAGTTTGACAATGTCAACATTACTGTCGAAAACGCTGGTCCGGCGGTTCAATCTCTATTATTCCCGACATCTGTAGTCGGCAGAAAGCTGCAAAGCCTCAAAGAAGCAAAGTCATCCAGCCCAGACAGTATACCGGCCAAGATCTTCAAAGAATTGGCAAGCGAGCTCTCAGAGCCCTTGTGCATTTGAAATCAAAAAACGGTGCCCTGAAGTAAATAACGTATTGAAAACTGCTCTAGGTTGCATAGAAATGTAAGTTCTTTCATTTC